GCCAGTTTTTTAGTAAATGGATCAGCAAATTATAGCTTTTTTATATATAGGTGAGTGAAATGATTCCATCTTTAATTAATTTTCTCACAAAGGAATTTCTAAGTCCTATGTGTCTATACTTTCCATTATACACTTCTCTAAACGCTTTAGCTAAAGTTTCTTGGCAATCGCAATGTATCAACGTGTTTGAAACATTGTCTTTTGCAAATGGAACTTCCAACAAAAGGTCCCTGAACCATTCTGCTTCTTGATCTGCGGGCGCCACAAACTCTAATTCCATGGTTGAAAGAGTAATGCATGTTTGTTTCTTGCTCTTTTAATAAATTTCTCCTCCAGCTAGTGTAACTATCATCCCAGTTGTGGATTTATGATGTCCAACATTAGATATCCAACTTTCAACTATATATCTTTTTAAAATGGCAGGTAACCTGCAATAGTGAAGGCCAATATTTGTGGTCTTTTGTAAATAGCCTAAAATCCTTGTGATTTTCTTCTAATGTTCTTTATTTGGATTACTAGTAAACCTTCTCATTTTACTAACTACAAATGATATGTCAGGTCAGAGACATTGCATTGAGTATATAAGACACCCTATTGCACTTGCCTACTTCAATTGAGTCACTTCTCTTCCATTAATCTTTTGAAGTTTGACAACATGATCAAATGGAGTAGTTACTTCCATAGATTTGAGGTGTTGAACTTATCAAGCATTTTTTCAATGTAATGTGTTTGACTATGTTCGCAACCTCCACTATTTCGCTTTACTTATCCCTAAAATTGTGTCAACTAATCCAAGATATTTCATTTTTAATGTGAAAGTTAGAAACCTTTTTGTCTCTAAAACTCCATCCTTATCGATTATAATTATCAACATGTAATCAACATATAAACAAAGGAATATTACAATACTTTTTTGTACCATTGTGTATAAACACTTGTCATAAGAATTGGGAGTAAATGCATTTGAAAGTATGACATAATCAAAATTTTGATGCCATTGTTTTGGTGCTTGTTTTAATCCATATAGAGATTTGTCAAGCTTACACACGTTTTGTTCATTTCAAGGAAGCACGTAGCCTTCTGGTTGTTCCATGTAGATTTCCTCATCGAGATCTCCATTTAGGAATGTTTTTTTAACATATATTTGATGAACTATAGGTCATTAAAAGTGGCTAAGGAAAACAATACTCTAATTGTTGTTGTCCTTGCCATTAGTGCATATGTGTCAAAGTAATAAACACCCTCTTTTTTTCTAAATTCATTTTCTACTAATCTTTCCTTATAGGTTTTTAGTGTTTGTCCCTATGATACTTATTTTTAAACATCTACTTTCATCCAATTGGCCTTGATCCTTTAGGTAAGTCAACTAGTTCCCAAGAGTGATATGATGTAATTGAATCCATTTCATCTTGGATAGCATCCTTCCAAAAGGAGGAGTCTCTTGAATCCACTACTTCCTTATAATTTTTAGGATAATCCTCTACTTGAAGAATAATAGGAATGTCTCGAACATAATTATCATGGTTTCCATCAACTAGATTAAATGAAATAAGTTCTAAATAAATTCCATTTGGTCCTAGATCCTTTTTTCGAAATCGCTCGCTTATCTTAGGCTCAAGTTATGATTCTATGATCCGATAAGAACTTTCAGGTTGCATCTCAACACTCAAAGAAAAATATTCCTCACTAGATAATTTGTTTATGAGAAACTTTGATTCTTTATCCCTAGTAATAAGGTTTTCAAAAAATTCTACATCCCGGGATTCAGCAATTACATTATACTATAAGCTTAAAAGTCTATATGGTTTTTTATTTGGTTCATGTCCTACAAAGGCACATTTTATTCCTCGAGGATCCAACTTAGTTCTCATTGGGTCCATCTTTTTATAATATACTACACATCCCCAAACTCTAAAGTAACTGAAACTTGGTGCTCTTCCTTTCCTTAACTCATATGGAGAAGTAACACTTTTTTTCAAAGGAATTATGTTAATTATGTGGAAAGCGGCTAGTAAGGCATCACCCCATAAATTAAAAGGAAATTAATGCATTAACATGTCATTAATCATCTCTTAATATATTAAATTCTTTCTCTCGGCTATACAAGTTTGTTGTGGTGTGAAACATTCATGTATATTTCCATGTTCTTCAAAAAATAATCAAATTCTGAAGCAAAATATTCACCGCCCTATCAATCCTAAGGATTTTGATAATTTTACTTAAATGCTTTTCTACTCCTGATTTGAAAATTTTAAAGGCATTAAAAGCATCATCTGTGAAAGTTATACATATGTGAATCTTTAAAAGATCTTTAAAAGTTATACATATGTGAATCTTTAAGAATAATTGATGAATGTAAGGATATATCTATTTCCCCCACGGGTTAACATGCCATAAAATTGACACAAATCTGAATGTACAAGATCAAGGAGATTCGTATTTCTTTCAACACTTTTGAAAGGTTTCTTAATCATCTTTGATTTAACACATATTCACAATTTTCAAAATCATTTATATTACCTGAGATCAAACCATATTTAATTAGTCTCTTCATAGAACTAATAAGGGTATGTGATAAAATGTTATGCCATAAAGAAAGAAACTCAAGCATCTTAGTAGAATTAGAAATTTTATTAAAAACATTTTCGGTAGTATAGAGTTTGATCATTCCCTCATTGGAATATATTTTTCATATAAATACACCATTATGGCTCAATATAAATTTCCCAATTCATATACAAATTTAATGTTTGGTTTTCTCAATAAATCCCCACCAACAAGATTCGTATTCATGTTGTGGACATGAAGCGCATTGACAAGGGTGACTTTCTTTCTGGATGTGAATTTGAGTTTGATAGATTTGGTTCCAACAACTTTAGATCGTACTTCATTTCCCATCTTTACTTCATGCCCATCATTTTCGTCAGAAAAGTTTTTAAAAGCAGGCTTGTTATAAGAGACATTCAATGTAGCACATGTATAATACCACCAACCTTGCACTTTTCCTTTGATTTCCATTATTTCGCTTACCATAGCAATTATATCATCATTTGCATGAACTGTATTAATCTCATTTTATGACTTGTTGTGCATGTAATCTCAAACATAGCTTTGATGTTTTCCATATACAAAACAACTGATTTTTAGACCTTTTTGGACAACCGAAATTCTTGAACTTGTTATGTTCCTTTTTAGTTCCAAGATGACTCTTTATGCCATCATGTTTCTTTTTTTCCTTTGGAGGTCACAACATTGGCTTTGGAAAGATCAACAAACTCTGATTTCTCCATTTACTTCTATTCCTCCTCGATTCGAAGATGTTTCTGGATTTTCTCTAGAGAGAAGTCTTCAGAACTGTTCAACAATAACTCAAAGAATGATTCTCTTAAGGTGATTACATTGGAATTTTTGTTTGAGTTCTTTACATCTCTCAAGACTTTATGTGAAGAACTTTAGGCTTACTTACCTCTACCTCTTTGTGCTTTTCCAGATTTGGGTGTGTGTGTGCTACGAGTGTCAGCAATGTTAGACATCATCATGATATCACATTTTCCCTTTGGTTTTTGAGAGGTCTCAATGATCAATTTGTTATGGTACGTTCTAAGGTTCTCTTGATCAGCCCTATACCACATATCAATTGTATATTTTCTATGGTGCTTCAACAAGCAGGTTTGACTCAATGGCAAGGCAAGTAAGTCATTTGTCATGAGGTCCCTTATCTGGATTATATAGTAGGCCTCAAAATGAATTAATTATTAAATAAATTAAACAAAAAGAAATTCATTAAAACAATATATGTAGTAGCTGACAGTAAAGTATTTTTTTAAGGACTTGGAAGTTACTGCTTCGACTTCCGCCACTCTCGATTTTTAAGTCTCACTTTTCTATCTTTAATCAATTTTTATCTATATTATCCACTTTTATTCAAAGACATTGGCAATTGATGTAATAAATTATATGACAATTTATATGGTATAATTAATCATATATTTTTAAATTTTATAAATATATTTTTTAATATATAAAATTATGTAATATATTGTTATGTTTTATTTTTATTTGAGAAATTTTTATTTTAATGTCTTACGTGTTTTTACTTGGTTAAAAAAACATTAACTAAGATCTATTATTATTTTCAGACGAATTAAAATAAAAAATTTTAATGAATAATTTTAAATTAAATTTCAAAAATAATACTCTAAGACGTACATAAAATTAAATTAAATTAAATTAAATTAAAATTTTAAATTATATTATATTAATATAATGAATTTTTTTTTTGTAGTTCAAGAAGTACATAAAATTATCATATTTAATTCTCACTATTAAGAGGATAAAAAATAACATGATAAATGTTTAATAATAATTAAAGATAAAATTAATGTATTAAAAATATTACTAATTAATTTTTATATTATTTAGAAACTTAATTGAAGAAAATAATAATTTAAGAATTTCATTTATGGTTTCTTTTATTTTAAAATAATAAATTATCTAAAATTTTATTAATATATATTTTAATGTTTAAAAAATTTCATTTTATATTTTTCATTAGGCCTCCAAATTTATTGAGCTGGATCTGTCAACAAGAAAGATAACATAGTATTAACTTCAAGTATGACACATGCTTGCATTTTGGTGTAGTTCTTAACCATACAATTAATACAAGAGAAATACTAATATAATTATAACCTCATTCAATTTCTTCACACATGATAAATTAAATGAGGCAATGTCTGTACTATATATTGTTTATGGATTAGTGGTTGAAGGTGTTCTGGAGAACAATAATCTAAAAAGGAGTAGCGATAATTATGCTTTACTTCCATTTTGGAGTAATTCATACAATATTTCTTAACTATTACAAATAATACAACAAAAATACTACTGTCATTATAACCTCATGCAATTTCACCACACTCGATGAAAAGAATGAGGTAATGTATGTACTATACTGCATATGTTTATCTGATTACATAATGTAACTTGTAAAGGAATGTTTAAGGGTTAGAGGTGGAAGGAGTCTTGGAGAAAAATGGGAAGAAGGAGAAAAAGGAAGGGGGTGATTTGGGAGTATCAGAAACTGGAGCAGTAGCTGGAGCGGACACTGGTGGAACATCGATAGTTGGATCAGTCGAAGGAAAGGGAAATGGCATGATGTGCTTCGGAAGAGATGGGATGGAAGTTTGCAATGGTGGAAGACTTCCTTTAGGCAATGATGGCATTACATCCAAATCTGTCAAAGATGGTTTTGGTAAAGTTGGAATGGTAGTATGTAAAAATGTGGTTGTTTCCAGAAGATCACGAGCTTCAATGTTCATGCTTATCATTGTCACAACAACAAGTAAAGCCAAAGTGAAGGATTTGGAGAAAGCCATTACTATTGATAACTTGATGAGTTTTTTTTTTGTTTTTACCACCAGTATCCGATCCACAGGACCGCCTAATATGAATCGGGATGAGTTTTGTTGAGGGAAATTGGTTTGGGATTTGATGAGAAAGAAATGGATAATTGATGGTCTTACATAGAGTGAGAGAGACTAGTTTAACTTTCTATGTTTTGTTTTGCTAAAAGCATTTTGTGGTTAGATTTATTTGCTAATTATAGGAATTTTTTTTAATTACGGCCTTCAATGCATTCTTAACCATGAAAGTTGATTTTTTGTGTAACTATTTGACCTATTAATCAAATAATGCATTTTAATCCAACAAAACGAATGCACCCGAACAAACCTTGTATAGCCGCAGAAAACATTAGATAATTGCCTAAAATATATATTGATATTAATAATAATAATAATTCTAGTTTAAATAAATTAGTTAAAAAAATTTAATAATAGTTTTATTATATCAAATTTGTTCAATGAAATATTGAGTTAGTTCAAGTTGACTTGTAGAAGACACGTAGAAGTGCAGTAATTTAAATAGTTTTGAATTTTTCATGTATTAATTCTAAACAAATCAAACGTGATATATATTTGTTTAGATAATTTCTTTATTTTAATCAATTTATCATGCTCAATATATGTAAAGATGTGCTCTTACGTATACAAGTAATAAAGATTACAGAAAAGAAAGGCGGGCAAATGAGAATGGAAATTCAAATCTCATAAAATGTACATATACAACTTCGGAAGACATAATATTTCTATGTATGGATTTTTAGACTCTTTTTAAAAGTTCGACGGCCTTTAGTGTTAGGAAGACAAAAATTTCAAAAACAATGATATCAAAATTTGTTGATCGTCAAAACACGTTTTCTCATATCTTACTTGAATCCACTTTGAGGATTGTTTGTCTTGGATTAAAACATTCGTTCCTTAGTCCAACAAGTGGTGAAACCTCATTTAAGTACATATATGCATATATCTCTCCTACAATACACTAGAATATATGTTATTCATAATGTACATCTTCCATCGCATGGGCTGATTAAGAAATTCATAGGCAACTATTTTTTCACTAATACCTCTATTTTCCGAAATATATAAAAGGGAATTCCTAACGAATTCTTATAGTATTTGAAGCTTAAAAGCTCCCTACAATAATCGACGTGTTTCCCAAAGATTTCCAAACATGCCTTACCTCAAAAAGTGAAAACTTAACCAGTAATAAATAAGGTAATCCATAGAAATAGAAGTAGTTAGGAGAAAATATTGAGTATGTGGTCTTTGCAAACACTCATTATAAGGGATCCATCTAGATGACCCAAGCATTTTGATAGTTATGGGGAAGTCCCCATCTATAACATTGCAAAAGCATTGTCTAATGTTAATGCTTATCTTTTTATCTTTCTCCTCAATATAAAATCCTACATATAGTAAGTCATCTCCAAACAGCTTAGCAGCCGAAAATGTGATGTTGTTACAAATAATTCTTATTCTAAGATATGTGATCCCGACTATTTTGAGGTTTTAACACTTGTAAATAACAATGAATAATAAGTAGCAACTAAACTTAATGCTTTAGAAAACTCAATATGATAACTAAGAGGTATACACTTCATATTCAAGATAGGTGTTGAGAGGACTCTCTTTAACAACCTTGTATTGCACCAAGGATATCAAAATCCAATGTATATGCTTTTAAGATACCTATAATTAGGCTCCCGGTCTCCCCTATCCCGTTAGTAAAACGAACCAAACCATCAAGATAGATCCAAAAATCTAATAACTTCCCTCATTGTCATAATTCCGAATATGTCCTTACAGTTTCAAATTATGTGTGATGCTAGTGACATCATTAAGTAATATGGTTGCCTAAAGTAGGGTTAATATGAGATTTTGTGTTAAACTTATACAAAAATACAAAAAGCTAGTCTAACCATACGGTGAAGAATAATATATGTAGTTTTTATTTACATGTGTCAACATTATCACGAAATGTTTGACAATAATTCAAATCAATGACTTGTTGCTACCCATTTAATCTTGAGGTTAATTGTTTGTTAACGTAACATTGGGTTGTCGGTGTTATAGGAACTCTTACTCAAGGAGTTTAAACCCCATACCTCTCGAGGTTGAATTTACTAAGTCTCTGGCAAATTTCTTAGTAAATAGATCAACAAATTATAGCTTTTTGTATATATGTGAGTGAAATGATTCCATCTTTAGTTAATTTTCTCAAAAACGAATTTCTAAGTCTTATGTGTCTAGACTTTCCATTATACACTTCTCTAAATGCTTTAGCTAAAGTTTCTTGGCAATCACAGTATACCAACGTGTTTGAAACATTGTCTTTTGCCAATGGAACTTCCAACAAAAGGTCCCTCAACCATTTCGCTTCTTGATGTGCGGAAGCAAGCTCCACAAACTCTAATTCCATGGTTGAAAGAGTAATGCATGTTTGTTTCTTACTCTTTTAATAAATTTCTCCTCCACCTAGTGTAACTATCCTCCGAGTTGTGGATTTATGATGTCTAACATTAGATATCCAACTTGCATCTGTATATCTTTTTAATATAGCAGGAAACCTGCAATAGTGAAGGCCAATATTTTTGGTCTTTTGTAAATAGCCTAAAATCTTTGTGATTTTCTTCCAATGTTCTTTATTCGGATTACTAGTAAGTCTTCTCATTTTACTAACTACAAATGATATGCCAGGTTAGAGACATTCCATTAAGTACATAAGATACCCTATTACACTTGCCTACTCCAATTGATTCACTTCTCTTCCATTGTTCTTTCGAAGTTTGACAACATGTTCAAATGGAGTAGTTACTTCCTTAAATTTGAGGTGTTGAACTTATCGAACATTTTTTCAATGTAATGTGTTCTACTATGTCCGTAACCTCCACAATTTCGCTTTATTTTGATCTCTAAAATTGTGTCAACTAATCCAAGATCTTTCATTTTGAATGTGAAAGTTAGAAACCTTTTTGTCTCTAAAACTTCATCCATGTCGTTGCTAATTATCAACATGTAATCAACATATTAACAAAGGAACATTATAATACTTTTTGAACCTATGTGTATAAATACTTATCATAAGAATTGGGAGTAAATCCATTTTAAAGTATGACATAATCAAATTTTTAATGTTATTGTTTTGGTGCTTATTTTAATCGATATAGAGATTTATCAAGCTTACACACGTTTTGTTCATTTCAAGGAAGCACGTAGCCTTCTTGTTATTACATGTAGATTTCCTCATCGAAATCTCCATTTAGAAATGTTGTTTTAACATATATTTGAAGAACTATAGGTCATTCAAAGAGGCTAAGGAAAATAATACTCTAATTGATGTTGTTCTTGCCATTAGTGCATATGTGTCAAAGTAATAAACACTCTATTTTTGTCTAAATTCATTTTCTACTAATCATGCCTTATAGGTTTTTAGTGTTTTTCCCTATGATACTTCTTTTTAAACACTTACTTGCATTCAATTGGCCTTGATCCTTTTGGTAAGTCAACAAGTTCCCAAGTGTGATATGATGTAACTGAATCCATTTCATCTTGGATAGCATCCTTCCAAAAGGAGGAGTCTCTTGAATCCACTACTTCCTTATAATTTTTAGGATCATCATCTACTTTAAGAATAATAGGAATCTCCCGAACATAATTCTCACAGTTTCCTTCAACTAGATTAAAGGAAATAAGTTCTGAATAAATTTTGTTTGGTCCTAGATCCTTTTTTCGGAATCTCTTGCTTATCCTAGACTCAATTTATGAGTATATGATCTAAGAAGAACTTTAAGGTTGCATCTCAACACTCAAATAAAAATATTCCTCACTAGATAATTTATTTACGAGAAACTCAAATTCGTTATCCCTAGTAATAAGGTTTTCAAACAATTCTACATCCTGTGATTCAACAATTACATTAGACTATAAGTTTAAAAGTCTATATGCTTTTTTATTTGATTCATGTCCTACAAAGACACATTTTATTCCTTGAGGACCTAGTTTAGTTCTCTTAGGGTCCATATTTTGATAATATACTACACATCCCCACACTCTAAAGTAATTGAAACTTGGTGCTCTTCCTTTCCTTAACTCATATTGAGAAATAACACTTTTCTTCATAGGAATTATGTTAATTATGTGGAAAGAAGCTAGTTAGGAATCACCCCACAAATTAAATGACAATTTTGAATGCATTAACATGTCATTCATCATCTCTTAATATGTTAAATTCTTTCTCTCGTCTATACAAGTTTGTTGTGGTGCAGAACATTCATGTATATTGCCATGTTCTTCAAAAAATAATCAAATTCTAAAGAAAAATATTCACCGCCCTATCAATCCTAAGGACTTTGATACTTTTACTTAAATGATTTTCTACTTCTGATTTGTAAATTTTAAAGGCATTAAAAGCATCATCTTTATGCCTTAAAAGTTATACATATGTGAATCTTTAAGAACAATTGATGAATGTAAGGAAATATCTATTTCCACCATGGGTTAACATGCCATAAAGTTGACACAAATCTGAATGTACAAGATCAAGGAGATTCATATTTATTTCCACACTTTTGAAAGGTTTCTTAATCATCTTTGATTTAACACATATTCAAAATTTTCAAAATCATTTATATTACCTGAGATCAAACCATATTTAATTAATCTCTTCATAGAACTAATAAGGGTATGTGATAAAATGTTATGCCATAAAGAAACAAACTCAAGCATCTTAGCAGAATTAGAAATTTTATTAATAACATTGTCGGTAGTATAGGGTTTGATCATTCCCTCAAAGGAATATATTTTTCCTATAAATACACCATTATGGCACAATATAAGTTTCCCAATTCATATACAGATTTAATGTTTGGTTTTCCCAAAAAATCCACACCAACAAGATTCATATTCATGTAAGGGACATGAAGCATATTGACAAGGGTGACATTCTTTCTGGATGTGAAGTTGAGTTCGACAGA